CTCAAAAAAATTTATTTGATGAGACGGTTATTCAATCTGCGAATGACGGAAGGTGCATCGGTAGCACATTATCTCAATGAACTCAATACAGTCACGACCTAATTGAGTTCAGTTGATATTGAGTTTGATAAAGAAGTACGAACATTGATCCTTTTATCTTCTCTACCAGAAAGCTGGAATACTACAATCACAACTGTGAGTAGCTCATCGAGAAGCAATAAGTTGAAGTTCGATGACGTTCGTGATCTGGTTCTCAATGAGGAAATTCGACGGAGAGAGTCGGGTGAAGTTATAACCTCTTCAGTATTACATACAGAGTCAAGAGATCAAAATTCAACTAGAAGAAATAGATCAGAGGACAGGAGGTCCAAATCCAGGAATCCCAGCAGCTCAAAAGCTATCGAATGTTGGAAGTATGGGAAAACCGGGCACTACAAGAATCAGTACAAGAGTGCACAGAAGGAGTGGGAGGCAAGAGCAGATACAAATGTTGCTTCCACCTCAGGAGGAGATGATGCATTGATATGCTCTTTGGAGAGCAAGGAGGAGTCTTGGGTGTTGGACTCTGGAGCATCATTCCATGCTACTTCTCAGAAAGAATTCCTAGAGAAGTATATCCCCAGAAACCTTGGAAATGTATACCTTATTGATGATCAACCGTGTGCCATTATTGGCAAAGGTGTAGTGAAGATTAAGTTGAATGGGTCAGTATGGGAGCTGAAGGATGTCAGACATATTTCCGACCTGAAAATAAACTTAATCTCGGTAAGCCAGCTGGCTAGTAAATGCTACACTATGACTTTCTATGGTGATGATTGAATGATTTCAAAAGGCGCAATGATAATTACCCGAGGCAAGAAGACTGGTACCTTGTATATGACAGCAGGTGCACATTGTTTGATCTCAGTTGCGGGAGGCGACAAGACTTCAAGGTTGTGGTAATAGAGACTCAGTCATATGAGTGAGAAGGGGATGAAGATTATGCACACAAAGGGAAAACTCCCAGGTTTACAATCAGTAGAGATAGATATGTGTGAAGAATGCATACTTGGAAAAGCAGAAGAGAGTTAGCTTTCAGACAAGTGGCAGAACTCCTAGGATGAATAAGGTAGAGCTCGTTCACTCAGATGTTTGGGGACCAACAACCACCGTATCCGTTGGTGGGAAACACTACTTCGTGACTTTTATCGATGATCACTATCAGAAAATGTGTGTCTACTTTCTAAAGCATAAGTCAGAAGTATTTGATGTTTTCAAGAGATGAAAAGTCATGATCGAGAATGAGACTGGTCTCAGAATAAAGAAACTCAAAATAGACAATGGTGGTGAGTATGAAGATATCAGATTCAAGAAATTCTGCTATGAGTACGGGATTGGAATATAGAGAACCGTGCCCGACACGCCTCACCACAATGGTGTAGCTGAGTGCATGAATAGAACGTTGACAGAGAGAGCCAGAAGCATCCGTATACAGTCAGGTCTACCGAAGCAATTCTGGGCAGAAGTGGTCAAATAACAGCTTACTTGATTAACCGAGATCCATCGGTTCCATTAGAGAACAGAATATCAGAGGAGGTATGGTGTGGAAAGGAGGTAAACCTCTCACATCTCAAAATTTTCAGTTGTATAGCTTATGTGCATATTAGTGATCAAGGCAGGAATAAGCTTGATCCTAAGTCCAAGAAATGTACTTTCATCAGTTATGGTGAAGATGAGTTCGGTTACCGCATTTGGGATAACGAAAACAAGAAAGTGATTAGGAGCAGAGATATGATATTCAATGAGAAGATGATATATAAGGACATGCACAAGACAGATGATTCAGAGAATGAGTCAACATTTATAGATATAGATGATACCCCGAGTAACCTCTGGGAAGAACCCAATGCAGAAGATCCTCAGCCAGAAGAGCCCGTTGGACAGAACGGTGCGCAGGAGCCCGACGCACCAGCTCCGATATTAAGGAGATCTACTCGTCCTCCTGTGCCTAATAGCATGTATGGTGTAAATTTGATTTCCCGAAAATAGGGAGTGTTCGTTTATATTAATAAGAAAGCTTATTACAAACTAATAATCAAATGGTTACAACAGAAGCAAAGGGAATGCCCTCTTTGTTTTGTGTGGGGACTTTAGGTGGCTATAGGACGCTTCGCTCGATGCTCGTGTCGAGTTTGCTTCCCTTGGACCGTTCGATCGAAGTTGCTGGAGAGCTTCAGTTCGTAGTAGAAGCTCGAATCGATGGAGTTCGGGTCTGCTTAGTTCACCGGCGGTCGGAGCTCAGAACTAGGCAGTGTTGTTGTAATGCAAGGGTCTGCTAACAGCTTGGTCTCAATTACTTTTCTCCAAGTTTTGCGACCTCTCTTCCAGTGTGATGGAAGGGGCTTTTAAATGGAAGAAGGACAGCTTGACTACTCCTTGAATTATGGGATGTGACCATACATTGTTCGGAGACATCCCGCTGTTCCTTCGTACCGTCAGCGGTTATTCGAAGAGCTGTGCTCTGTATCACGTTTCGTAAGAGTGGGAAAGTCCCTCCTCGTATGCGTGACAACGGCTGTCAGATGCTTGCGTGGATCTGACCAAACACCGAGCGTCGGCTGTACTGACAGCCTGGAGGTTTGCAGGCGGATTCGACTTCGGACTCAGGCAGGCGAGTTGCGTGAAAGGCGAACTTCCGCTATTCCAACTGATCTCAACTCGTGCAAGCGAGTCGATTATTCAGGCGAATCTGGAACTGAGCACGTTTGATGACCATGCGGCTTAGGCAAGCGACTTCTTGTGGGCGAATTTCCTGTAGGCTTATCAGAGGTATTTTTTACCGTCTACAAGACCCCCTTCAAAGTTTTTAGACCTAAACTGGCTTGCGTGGGGTCTGGAATACTTTGAATGAAGAAAACTTCGGCGAAGCAAGTGCCTTTGGGTTTCTTTTAGGATTTTTAGCAAACCCTCAGCTATCAACGGGTTTGATGTGCCTTTACCAATCACCGTTTGAATCGGGCTAGCCATACTATTCCCCTCAGTATGATGAGTTGTTGAATAGTTTCTCTTAGGCTTAATGCTAAGATTTCTGCTCTAACCCTTAGCCGTCTGAGGCGTGGGCTTAACCGTTCAAGCGAGGTCATTCTATTGGCTTTGTCCGTAATTTTACCTTTAAGGGCGAATGAATCGTCAAGGCGAAATTAGTCTTTGGGAGCCAAATTTCGTGCGACTCGTGGGGTCGGGCCAAGTATTCGTAGGCGAGACCTCCCCTTTTTGGGGCGGAACCAGATTAGATGGGAGATGAGCCACGTGTTTGTCGATAGGACTTCGTGCTTCCCAGCTAAGGCGGCGCGGTCTCGTCGGGTCGTGGTGATCGTGACTTGACAACATGATGTCAGCTTCACGTGTCTCGCCCCACGATGCATCGTGGCCGTGGTTTTCGAACCCGGCCGTTAGATCAAGTCGTGGGTTTTGGTTCGGGTTTCGGGCTTTGACCGCCCCGTTCCCCTTTTCAATGGCTCTTTCGCAACTGTAGAACGAGTTATGAAGGACAATCTGGGCTGTCGATTTCGATCGCGGCCACGTCTCTTGAACGCGAGTGTCTCGCTTTGCAAGCCCTTTCGCCTTTAAATAGGTTTCGTCCTTTTCCCCTTTTTGAAAGTTACTGTGTGCGAAAATCTCTCAAAAGAGAAAGAATTCCCGCTTCGTTTCAATGGCACCAAAATCCAAGAGGTGTAAAGTGCAGGGAAAGGGCCCCGGACGCTACTCCGACCGCCTGTCCGCCGGTGTGACTGCCGATGTGTCTGAGGCGCGTTCGGGTAAGTTGAGAAAGTTTGCTTTAACGTTCTCGTGTTGGTCACCGCTGTCGTGCCAGGAAGATGAGTGTTGTTCATCTTGCCTTGGTGGGTTAGGCAATCCCCGTGATTTTGGTAAAACTGCCCCTTTTCAGGTGGATTTTACCTTCATCCGAGTTGGGCGATTCCGGCCTTTATAGGCGAGATTGGTCTCTATTAGGCGAGAGTGAACTCGTCTTCTGACAGGCGAGTTCGACTTTCGTCTAATAAAGGCGAACGTGGCCTGTGCAAGCGGGCCTCGTCATGTCTGGCGAATTTCGCTTCTTGACAAGCGGATCTGCATCTGCCTCCTGATTTTTCTTGACTTTGTTTTGCAGTGACCTCTTCCGACTGAGCCCTCCCAAAGGGCGGGGAAGATACGGCGAGTCTCTTAGGGATGTGCCGATGGCGGATTGCCCCACAGCTCTCTCACGCGGTGCTTTTCGATGGTTGGTGAATATTCAGCCGGGGTATCACATTCTACGCACTGGTTCTGTGTGCTATCTCGAGCCGTATATCCCCTGCAGGTTCGCCCGTCAGTTCGGGTACGACCAATTGTACGTGGGCAACGCCAATCCCCGCCTACACTTCGAAGGAGGACTGGTGGATGGAGCTCGGGGATGGTTCTGGACCCATGCCAGTGGTACCCAGGCTCATTTCGAATTACCTACGAAGGATCGTGATTTGCACCACACGCTCCTGTACTGCCGGTGGTATCGGGGCGCCAGTGCTAACCCCGCTGGTTTCTGGTTCCAGAGCTCATGTCTGGCGGAGCGCGATCGTCCTCTCAGGGGGGCTCTCCGTTCTTCAAGGCGAAGGGGCCATCAAACCGCTAGGGAGCTGTTCTCAGAGGATCCAGTGGAGGACCCTGAGAGTTTTGACGCTGGTTTAGACAAATCTGAGGCTCCCGAGGTTCGAGTTCCTCCTCTTGGTCCTTCGTTGGATGCCCCTGGCGAACCACGAGAATTTGAACACCTAAGATAGGTCCAGAGTCCGACAATTGGACAGATGGGGACACCTCTTCTGTCTCCGAGTAGCTCGCTTCTCTCGAAGCGTCAGCGGGAGGCAGCGACCGAGAGTTCCCGAGCGGAGGCGGCCAAGAAGGCCCGTCGTGATGAGACAGCGGAGACCGTCCGAGCGGCGGAGGGTCAGGAAAACGTTCCTCCGGTAAGCATCCCCGGAGCGGCGATGTCTGGGTCTGGAGCTGCACTGCCCGCCTCTTCTGCTGCATCGGGTGTAGTCCCGGCGACTTCGAAGGGCGCTTCTCCGCAGTCTGGCGTGAGGCCACCGACGGGAGTTCCAGCGGTTTCTGCGTCCGCATCAGGAGGTAGTCTTTGCAACAGTATCCTTGATCGCAACGTTGGTCTTACACCTTTTGACACTTGTATTGGGCCTATGCAGGTGTGGTTGAGAAAGTGATCTCCATTCCCTCTGACGAAGAGGAGGAGGCTGGGAATGAAGAGGGGCTTACAGGCTCAGGTGAGCGTAAGTTTTAACATTCCTCATTCTACCGTACCCCACTGTTAATAGGGTCCTTTTCGAGGGGCCTCCATTAACCCTCTTCGTGCATTCGTAGCTGATCCTGTCCAAGAGGCCGCTGGCAAAGAGGCTCTTCCCTCTTGGGCGAGTCGCTCGTCTAGTGAGACGAGTGAATCTGAGGAGGATGACGACGTCTCGATTCATGAGACGTTATCCAGTGAGGAAGAGGTGTTGGCTTGTGAGGATGCACCCGGCCAAATAGAGGGATCTCCTGCTCCTGCGGCAGTGTCGGCTGGGGATCTTTCATCAGTGCGAGAGTCTCCGCTTCAAAGGGAGACTTCTGCTCTGCAAGTGACCACTCCCTTGTCGGCGGCGGCCGTTGATGCTGTGACCGCTGCTCCGAGGGCGTCATTGGTCACACCAGCTTTGGCGGCGCCAATCCTTACTTCTATGGTTATGACCACTGGCACTTCAACTGGGATTTCATCCACGGCGGAGGAGGCCATCCTCTCTCCCTTGGAGCGTGAGCGAAGAAGGAGTGCGGCACGATCCTTGGCTGATTTCCAAGACACTCTAGCCGCATGCATCAGGCTTGCTTTGGAGGAGAATTGCCCTTTCGAGAGTTTCGAAGAGGATATCGACTACGTCGTGTGCTTCTTAATCAAGAGGCTTGGCCGGACTGTGGCGATGCCCTACTTCCAGCGTAAGGAGGAAGTGAAGGAAGCGGTGCAACGGTTGCTTGCTCTTCGCGCGAAGAGCTCCACTCTTGTGGATCTTGCAATCGACGAAGTCCGAGCAGCGGTGGAAGAACGCGATCGCCGTCTGGACAAGACCATGTCGCTGGAGGCGAGATTGTCAGCAGAGTTGGAGCAAGCCAAGGCTGAGGATGAACGAATGGCCTTCGAGCGACAGAAGGCCGATAACCGCGTCTCTCGCTTGTCTTCAGAGGTAGAGAATCTGAAGCAGGTTATAGCTAAGGCGCAAGACTCATTGGCCATTCAGGAGAAGGCTCGTGAACAGGCGGTCAAGGAGTTGGAAGGCATTGAATCTCGTCAGCAACTGACGGCTAACTCCGTCGAGGAAAAGGCTCGAGCCCATAAGGAGGTCAAAGAGACCGTCCGAGACTTGGCCTCGTGCACTAAGGAAGATCTTTGCCAGGAGATTCTGAGGAGGTTAGAACATCGCCATGCTAGCGAGATTCGTGAGGCGGAATTGCGATTGAAAGCTTTGTAATTTGCCCCTTTTCGTCTTTGATTGCCGGCTGTACTAGGATTTCTTTCTATGAATGAAACTATCCCTTTGTTTTTGGTTGCCAGTTGTATTAGGATTTCTTTCTATGAATGAAATTGTCCTTTCGTTTCTGGTTACCGTTACTTCTGTGCACGCTCCGCTCCTCTTCTAACATGCGTTAGCTAGAGTGTTAGTTGCAAGGGCGATCTTCAGCTGTCGGCGAGTCTCGGCCGTGAGCTTGTCTCCCCTGCGAGCGGACTTCATCCACAGGCGGATTTGGAATTTACTCAAATTTTAGAAGGGCAATCAATTTCGACCTGCGGGAATCTCAGCGGCGAATTCGCCGCCAGATGGGCTCCGCTTTCGGTTGGCCACGTATCGGTTTGTGCTTACATCAGCCGAGAGGATGTGGGCACGTAGCTCCGTATTGACTGCGGCGTAGTGGGGCCCTTCGTCCCTCGCGCCCGATCCGGGCCCTTACTGAAGATCGTGCCTTCAACTGTTTTAGCCTTGAACGGTCTAATCAAGTATTGAGTAACCGCCTAGGGTTCTTAGGGTATTTAACACCCTTACTCTCTATCAGGAGGATCTACAGTCTTTTCGTTGTCTTCCCCAGAGTAAACCCAGATTTCTTCTTCCTCATACCCCCGATGGCGCCGAAGGTGAAGAGGGTCGCTTCTAAGAAAAGGAAAGAACCGTCTTCTTCGGGCGCTGCTGAGGATGCCGCGGCCGAAGGTATCTTTTCGTTCAGACTCTCGTGTGGGCTGAACAGGTACTCTCCCCTTGACTCCTCTCTGTGTTGTTGTGTTTTGCAGATCGAGGGGAGGCGCCGGCTGCCAAGGAGCATGCGGCCGAGCCTATCCTGATTTCGGACGACGAATCCGAAGGTTTCCGCTGCTTCAGATCCTGCTCCCCAGCCGGGAGCCGAACCTTGCCTCGAAATTCCGCCCATCACGGCGCTCGCTCCGGGCCAAAAGTCTGTTCCCTCCGAGTCTCTGCCATGGCAGGCTCGCATTGAAGAGTTCGAGAGCGCTGTAAGACAGATAATTTCCCTTGTCGAACTCGGTATGGGTAGTTTTGACAGCTTCAGGCAGTCTCTCTATGATCGTGTGGCTGATTTGCGGCGATCGGGTGAAAATCGGCTCGCTACCCGTTGCATGCGTGAACTCCGTCTCTTGGAGCCACACATGATAGGATTAGAGACCTTGCTACGGGAAGGTCCAGAAGCCAACATGGAGTCTTGCTTGGCTCATGTAGGGCGTCAGGAAGCCCTGGAGCAGGAGACCCGTTCCAAAGAAATAGCGGATTTGGAGTCTATCGCCAACTTTTGGGTGGGTCAGCAGCATTTGCTAGAGGAGCAAATCATTGACCTCAATCGCACTATGGCTTTCCTGAGGGCCGAATTGGGACAGGCGGAGGCGAAGTGGAAGGGGCTCCAGTCCGACGTCGTCAAGGTCAGTGAGAACGCTGAGGCGGAAACTCGACGCCTGCTAGCCTTGCGCTAGGCAGATGCTGCCGCCATGTCGAGCCGTGAAGACCGGATTCGGAAGGCTGCTGAAAACAAGGCTCGGGAAGACCACGCGAGCCAGGTGGAGGCGGCCAAAGAAGAGATCTCCACTTTTAGTGTGTTCGACTGAGACCTTTACCTTATGATTGTGTTAAGACATTTTATTTATGACTTGTTTGTTTATGAAGTCATAACTTTGTTCAAATGTATTGTCTTAAACACTGGGTGCATGTTTCGCTTCTTTGAACGTAATATTATGACTTTCGCAATTGCAAAAAAAACATAACTTTGTTCAAATGTACTGTCTAGAAGCATCCCATGAAGCTTGTGTTTGCTCATCGTGCGTATACTCTTTTGATATGTCGCTTTCCAGTGTTTTGCTCTGTAATTGCTGACAATCTTGTATCGCAGGTGAAGTTCCCCTTGTGATGACGAGTTTACCTTAAGAGCCAAACTCTATCCCAATGAGTTTACGCTGTCGGCGAATCAATGGCGGCGGCGAGTTCGCTAAGATGGTGAAGCTCGGCTCCTGACGAGTTCACGTTGCTGGCGAAGTTTGTATGTAGGCGAAACTCGATCGCGGCGAGTTTTGCTCGGAAGCTAAACTCAACTGCTGACGAACTTACGCCGCAGGCGAAACCCGTATGATTTCGAGCTGTGACAAAAACCAAACTCGATTGATGGCGAATTTGAGTTGTAAGCGAAACTCGTATGATGGCGAGTTCACACTACAGGCGAAATTTGGATGGTGGTGAGTTTGCCCAATAGTCAGAAATTCAACTGTGGGCGAAGCTTGTGCCACGCGTCCAGCTGTGGGCCTAAGTGCTCGCCAGCTAAGCCTCTGCGGGTGCGTTAATGCTCATTTAATGGTGAAGCGGCCGAACGCTTCGCCTCTCATGCTCAATCCGATCGGTCAGTTTGGGGTTTCGAGAGGACTGGCCTTTATTGGCGTTGAGTTCGAAGCGTCGCAGATATTAAAACGCATATATCTCTCAAACCGTAAGGAATTTGGCAAAACGGAGGAAGCGAACCCAAGCCTTCGGCTAGGTTCGGATGGATCCGCCTCGTCGAGATAGCCGATTTTCATATATAATTCGTCTAATTCCGACTTACGGTTTGAAAGTTATGACCTGTTCGTCGCAGCAAATTATGTTCTGAAGTCCGTCTGCGGTGTGAGCGGGAGCTTGAGCGCGTGGAGGGGTGGATGTACCGCCTCGAGGAACTGGCCTATGACGATCCCTCCGACGTGCCACCGCCCCTTCCACTGTATCTCTTGCTCGAGCGTGAGAATCGGGCGAAGCGGATTCGGGCGAAGGAGGCCGAGCTCAGACGTCTGCGGAAGCGACACCAAGCGGTACTAGACCGAATGGACGCTTACCTGGACAGGGCTTTCTTCGAGGACGCTGGCTCTCTTCGCGGCGAGGCAAAGCTTGAGGAGCGTGGGCGTGAGGCGAGGAGGCTGATCGAGGCTGCCGGGACGGTGGATCGGGAGCTCCAACTCCTTCGCCGGGAGGAGGAAGATAGCCAGGCGGATTTAGCCAGGCGACAGCAGGAGCAAAAGGAGAAGGCAAGGATCCGGCGTGCGGCGGAGCGTGCTGCGGTCAAGGCTAAGATTGGCTCTTTTAGCCTGCTGAAATTCCTGTAATGCCGCTGCTTAAGTCCCCTCCCTTTTATTTTTCTTTTGTTGTTTTGTAAACCTAGTTGATGCCTCAGGCATCATAACTTGAAAACTTATGCATGTAAACTCTGGCCCGTTGTGGCTCTTTTGTTTGTTTTGTCTATCCTTACTCTGCTTGCATAGTTTTCTTTTTTTTTTATCTGCGCTGCTCGGCGTCTGAGTTGAACTTGGCGAGCCTTCGACTATTCTGTTTTAGACTTAGTCGTTTTAGGCTCTTGTTCTGCCTTCTGTTGCCCGTGGCGTGGGATCGGGTTAACTCCGATCTTCATGTTGTAGCTCAAATGGGATCGAGAAGGCAACACTTGGCTTGCAGCAAAGAATAATCGTTCGCTCCTGCGGCCAACTGAGGAGCTCAACTTCAACTCGCCTCTCGGTGAGTTGTTGCTTGGGGAACCGACAAACAGGTCGTCTACCGAACCGCCTGCGACAATTATCGTCATTTGGGAATGTGACAATTGATTGTGGTAGGAGCCATCGCGTGGTAGACCACTACCCATCGGTTATCCTAAGGGGGTATTAGGATATCTGGAACAGGTCAAATAGTCCAGGGACGTAGGAGTCTGACTATTGACAGAAGTAATAGCACGTCGCGTGGTAGGCCATTACTTAGGCTGTGCTATTTGTAGGAATAACGGCGCCAATCATCAGAGGTGATCATTAACTTGATGGGGTCTTGTCGCGATTGGAGCAACTGTGGGTGCCTACCATTCTTCCGAAGAAGATTGGCAAGTGAATTGTGTCAGAGGTTTAATGTTAACGTGACAGGGAATGTCGTGATTGGAACGACTTTGAGGCCCCACCATCCTTTAGAAGAGGATTGATGAGTGATTTTGTCAGAGGTTTAATGTTAACGTGACAGGGAATGTCGTGATTGGAACGACTTTGAGGCCCCACCATCCTTTAGAAGAGGATTGGTGAGTGATTTTGGCTCTGGTCCTAACTATTTGAAGGTCTGACCAAGTGGGCTTTTGATGTCACCTGCCAGAGATGCTAGTTTCGCCTGTCTTTGAGAGGTTCACCAAGACAGGGAGCTTAGCTCCAGAAGCAGACTTCGCCTAGACTGATAGGCTTGCCTGATATGATCGATTCGCCTGCTCTGAGCGATTCGCCTGATTTGGGCAGTTCGCCTGTACTGGCAAGCTGGCACAAGAAATTGAAGCGTAGGAATAGTTTTACCTCTTATACCATTTGGAGGGTTTGAGGGCCAGTTTAGACTCGTGCACTCATGGGAGTTTGTGAAGGAGAACTAGGGGTAGTACTTCTTCAGATACTTTCTGTTGATGGGCATCATGATCTTATCGCCGTTCGGCTTGACGAGGCGATAGACGCCGTTCGAGTAGACTGTCTCTACTATGAATGGTCCTTCCCATTTGGACTGGAATTTCCCCTTCTTCTTGGAAGTGAGGATCATTGGTCGGCGAACGGAGAGCACGAGCTCTCCCTCTTTGAAGGCTCGGCGCTTGACCTTTTTGTCGAAGTTCTTGGCCATTCGAGCTTGATAGAACACAATGTGCTGCTGAGCTTCCAGTCGCTTGTCGTCCAGCGCCTCGAGTTCTACGAGTCACAGTTGATGATTTTCCTCTGCCGTCATCTCTGTTGTTAGGGCGACGCAGAGGGATGGAATCTGAATCTCTAATGGCAATACAGCTTCACAGCCGTATACCAATGAGTAGGGCATGGTGCCAGTCGGTGTGCGAACCGTCGTACGATACACCCACAGGCTCTCGCCTAGCTTTTCGTTCCAGTCGCGCTTGCTAGTGGAAGTCAGCTTGGTCAAGATCTTGATGATCGTTTTGTTGAAGGCCTCGGCCAAACCAT